GACCCCAGGCAGCTCTACAGGCTTGGGGAAGAGTGGCTGGGAAGCTGTCAGGCAGAAGAGGACCTGGGGGTGTTGATCAACAGCCAGCTGAATGTGAGCCAGCAGTGTGCCCAGGGGGCCAAGAAGGCAAACGGCGTCCTGGTCTGTGTCAGTCTGACCAGCAGCAGTAGGGCAGCGATTGTGTCCCTGTACTGGGTACTGGTAAGGCCACACCTCAAGTACTGTGTTCAGTTTTGGGCCCCTCGCTACAAGAAGGACACAGAGATGCTGGAGTGTGTCCAGAGAAATGCGACAAAACTGGGGAAGGGTCTGGACAACAAGTCTTATGAGGAGCGGCTGAGGGAGCTGGGGGCGGTTACCCTGAGGAAATGGAGGCTGAGGGGAGGCCTGATCGCTCTCTACAGCTCCCTGAAAGGAGGTTGTAGGGAGGCGGGTGCTGGTCTGTTCTCCTGGGTAACTGGTGACAGGAGAAGAGGAAACGGCCTCAAGTTGTGTCAGGGGAGGTTTTTTATTTATTGGAATTTATTGCAAAGTCCTGTCTCATACACAGATGAAGAATGTAATGCTCGGTGACTGTATATATTTAGTGTTATTTATGTGTTCATCTGTTAGAGCTTTAGATTGTTTGCCGCATTCTGTTATGAAAGGTTCTTGTGACCTTCTCTGGAAAAGTTTTCCTGCAAGCTTTTAGCTTCAGCAGGGAGAAGCAAGTTTTCTTGTCGCATAGATTTCCATTCAGTCTTACCATGAAAAAAGTTGAGTGTTTCCGTTTCTTTTATCTTGCTGACGTAAGTAGCAAAATGCTGTCACCATACCACCTGCCTGCTATTCTATGCCACATCCTCAGAAAGCCGTAAGAGTAAACATCACAAAGATTTTGGCCCAGATAACACTGGAACCTACTGGTGATAGCAAGCACTCTGGGAGGAACGGACTGGGGAAAGGAGCAGGAAGGATAAAAAAGAAGGTAAAACCATGCAGGCTCTGCTCTGCCTCCTGGTGTCTCTCATGTTACGTTACAGAGCTTGGCTCAGCTGGATTTGCCCCATTAAACCCTTCTAGTCACTTAATGTCCCATCCAGCCACCCTTTCTGCTCTTGTAGGCACCACAGACAGTTGGCACTTTACTTTTCCAGCCTAAAGCGAGAGAACAGGAGGGGCCAAGCATGTCAGCTAGCAACGCGCTGTGGATGCAGTTGTTGGCATTTAGGATGTCAGACTATGTGGGATCAGTCCTGCAACCCCTGGGGCCGCAAAGCCCAGAGAGGATGAGAGGGGGAGAGATGATTTCAGCAATTGCCAAGCAGTATAACTTATAAATACCTCAAAGAAAACATGCAGAAGGAAGCAAATACACTTTGAATTATGCGAGTTGAAAGCGGAGAGTGTGCTAAGTGAAGGCAGTCTGTATGCTCTCAATGCATCCCCTTTATCATCAGGGTGCCCAACTTCTTCAGCATGCATAAATAAGAACAACTCTACTGGGAAAATAAAGCAAACATCTCTTTAGCTGAAGTGCCTAATATTGAAATGTACTTCTGATCTCCCTTCCGTGAAGAAGCAATGTATATTACATTTCAGCCCGAAAGGCCATATTAAGTCATTAAGTATTTTGAAGTGCAGCTGAAAACTACCATAGAAATTTCAAACTACATGTTACCTAAAGTGATATGCACTCCTTTCTACTACTTCATCAGAAAAACACTTCATGATATGTTCAGATTGTCTGAATTCCACAGAGCTTTAAATTTCTTATTGGCCTAATCTGCACTTTTAAAGGTACCCTATAAATACTGGATCATTGTCACAGGTGGAATTAAGGCCATCTGGACACGGTCCATGGGATAGGAACAGCATGATTCAAAGGAAGATGCGTGCTGTAAAGAAACCTTTGTCAGCCAGGGAGTACTTCATTCTGTAGGTGGCTTAGCCATTTCAACAACACTCATAATGGTTCTTAAATGAATGACAGAAGATACCTTATTCCTACCTGGTGATAGCAGTAGGAAGGAGTAAATTAAACTGAGTTGGTCAGCTTTGAAAAGCAAAGACTGGTACGTAATGCAACATTTCCCCACTGGAACCATGGTACGCTGCACACGAAGCAGAGGTCACAGTTGCCTTCTCATCCCTGCCACACATTGCAAGGTAGCAGGACCTGC